CAGCTTGTCCTGTATACCAAAACAAAGAAATAAACAATGACAGATTTAAGGTCAACAAGAACCTATCAACATCAAAGTGCACAAGACAAGTTGTGGACCACATGTGGAGAAATTCATACACTTCACTTCTACCCGAAGTTTTTGCTGATGATGTCGTTCAGAAGGACGGTGAATGCTCCACGACCAAACCATCCAGCTCCGAGAACAAAACTCCATCAAAATCATCTACCTGAGCTACAAATCTTTTCCACCAAACCCCCAAAGTAATAATAATCATGCACTTAACAGTGACTAATTTCGAGTGATAATTTCAGGAGTCACAGTGAGAAGCAGCTATTGGTTGAGTTCAACCTTTTTAGATTTAACGCAATAACTCAACAACGGCCTGAGGAAGATTGCTGCTCAATATTACGAATTGTTTTAAGCTATACGTTCAAACCACTCATAGGTGCAAAAGTCATGTAATCGCTAGAAGACTTGAAGGTCTACTGTAAAATCCCTGGTGAGGTTGTGGATTTTCCCTGCTAAAAAGTCCAATACTAGAACCAAGCGGATGTATATTACTTTTTAATTTTCAGTGGCTATATCATTAAGTTCAGTCTCTGATTCAAACCATGATATAAATGAATTGCTCAAGTTACTGTTCATGATGTTATCTTTAACGAAGAGGGAGCTTATTGTTTCATGCTGGTGTATTTATATAACTCATTAGGTGAATGCTTATAAGTTGTGTGTTGCTGAACGTCGTATGGAAGTTGCTACAGTCGTCAGTTTAAGAGAAGAGTTCCAGGAGATTATTAAGCACAGTGTGCAGAATAATTTGGTAACCAGAAGAGAAGCAAGTCAGTTTAGAACCAGCTTAAGTTTCAAAATGCACAAGATGCAAATGAATGACTAAAGACTAGGTACACATATTGCATAAATATTTTGTTATTTCAAGTACCATTCAAGTCTTCAACTGGGTGATGGAAAGTAAAGATGTTACTGGTCATCCAATAACCAGAGGTTGTGGTGCTTTAAGTCTACTGTGCAAGGTATTACGAACCAAGCTTTAACTTGGAATATTTAAGGGAGAGAAAAAAAAGGTAGACCAAAAAACATATTTTACCGAGAATGAAGGGAAGACATTAACAGAATGAGAGCCTAGAACAGAGTTGGTTGGAGAATCGTGGTCGGAGGCCTATACCTCACTATGGATGACAGGCATAAGTTAATTTTAAATCAACTAAAGTTGGAAATCAATAACGCAATGGTTCAGAGGTAAAATACTCAACATGAGACCGGAAGAATATTCGTTTTATACCTGATGCTATTTTGAATTTACATTGATGAGATATAATTTACCAGAATAAAACAAATTTCCATTGCTAATTAGTTAAAGTCTATCTATGATGTAAACCGCATACACTTCTCAATAAACTTGAATATTTGTTAGTTGATATGTCTTGTGGGTTGAACGCTTATTCAGATCCTAAGCTATTCTGATAACCCCAGGCTAGCACTACTCAGCGAGAGAAGACACGAGTAACGAGAAGATGCTTTATTACAAGGTTCAGCTTTGTACAGAAAATCGTAGGTATTTATAGATGTTTGCTTAAGTTAAATCAACATCCTAATTCAGCCAATCCACTTAACGACATAAATTGCTACTGACCAATGATAGCGTGCCACGTTGGAACTCCAGAATGTTCTGTCGTGCTCTGATTGGTTGGAGCTCTTTTTGAGCCTCTGGAGGCTCTGTTGGAGTTCTCTGGAAACCGACTCAACATTAGTACAGCGAAATCCGACTCACACCTCCTCGTCTTGCCTCCTGGATCATGGTAACTATCTCATGTACTAACATGAGTGGTGGAAATCGGCCAAATCAACCTCTCTACCTGTACCCGCAAACGATTATGAATGCTACAAAGAGTCATTGCATAACTATTGAGGATTCAAAAGGATGGTAAAAAGAATGAGTCTGCCCCTCCTCACAGAAAAACCGAATGTGCGTGTTGTGTAATAGTTCCGCGTAAGCAGTGCAAAAACAGCTATCCCGCCCTGGTAGTTGTGCCGCGTCTTGATGTAGCACTCTTCTCCAAAAGGGCTTGCTAGGCTTCCCCATGTTCCTATGGCTGGAAGGAACAGTGAAATCCGGGAATAATGTTTAGTACAAGTTGGGATCAACTTGAATCCCAATGGTGATGTCCACTCTAATACTCTAGTCTAGTACCTTTCATGCTGAACCTCAACATGTTATTCACCAAGCCATTCAATGTTTATAGTTACGTAATTGTCCAACAGGTAAGATTTTGTATTTCACATTAACATTACCAACAAGAAAATAGTTGGTATTTCTAACTTCTCTTTTGTCTACGAATTACAAGAATCGCACACATTATTTACAACTATGTATTAATACCATGTTGATAATGTAGTAATACATTAACCTTCATGGTTCCTTTCATCATTAGTTTTAATAAGGTATCTTTTTCCCATTTGGCTAAAGTACGTCGAAGTTAGATAACATAATGGTTTCAGATGGATAGTGGCTAGCAGTGGAATCCAGTTTGACGCGCGTTTCGTCCTATTTTGGACTCGTCAGATGGATGTACCTGCATTTCAGAGTTCATATTCACTCTGGGACTCGAACCAAGTAACTTTCGCTTCAAACGCCATCACGTTATCCACTCAGCTACTGAGTCCTGATAACCACTTGTTTGTGCAACGGGGTACCTGAATTAAGGCTATATCGAGGCAATACGCACAGTATGCACATATGCTAATTAGAGATTGACCAGTTGCAATCCTAAACATCAATGGGAAGGTTCAAACAAAAAATACTAAGTTAATTTATAATGGTTTCAGATTTTGATCTTCAAGGAGGAGATGTAAACATTCTACAATAAGTAACTTTTATGGACTTAGATTGTTTGATAAAATTATCATAGATCAAAAGTGGTTTTGTGGAGAATTTAGTATTTTAATGGTTGAAATCATCAGTCAATTGAAGCTAGACCAATATGGAAAACCTGGAAGCACTGGACGGCCATTTCGTCCTATCATGGGACTCCTGGTGGCAGTGCTCATCCACGATCTCGCACTCGTGAGATTCGAACCCAGGACCTACCATTATCATACAATTATTATACAATCTGTTTTGATGAAGTTTTGTACTCTGAGCTGAATAGTATGGTCGTTGAGCTTTCATCATTCTTCTGAACGACATCATCAGTACAAACATTCTATTGTTTATTGAACTAAACTTACTAAATGAACTTAAGCGTGGAAAGTCTTCAGATTCAGATGAACAAACGAAGTTGAATTCATAGATTTCATATGTAAGGAAGAAATCATTTTTACTAGAATGTAGAGATGTTTATTAAACATCTCACTTGGTTGACTGTTAATCAAAGGGATTTGGAAAGTATACACATTTCATTACATATCTAAATGTTGAAATAAATTGATTTAAAGAGCTACAATTAGGACTTGATTCATTGAAGATTGAGTAACCAACAAAATTGATATAGAATGATCAATAAAACGAAGTGATTTTAATTAAACAACCATTGAAAACCACAAAGCATTAGATCGTTGTTTCGTTCTTATATGGGACTCCTCATCAGTTGGCAACCAGGAGCATATAAGATCAAAGCAAAGAGCTCTTGTGTCGATTGCGAATGCTAAACCTATTTAATTCATAGTTCACAACATATAATAACACCGGATAGTTTCGATTTGACGTATTAAAATTGGTTTGCTACAGAGTAATATTGTTCGTTCATCAATAGGATTCAATGCAGAGTAAAATTCTGAACTAATTCAAGGCAATAGATGTTCAACGTAGTATTTATTTATATTCTGGCGACTTCAGTCATAACTCCGCCTGTAGCTCTTTTAGGGCTACTGCCAGTCCCAAGCCTCGGTAAAGGAGGGGGGTTGGGCATAGGTTTGGCAACCTCAATCCATAGAAAACAACCATGCTAAAAAAATGCTAACCAGAATAAGTAATTTCAGTCACATATATATATCCATTCAATATGATATTAGTTAATTAATAATCACTGTGGAGAAGATCCATGTACAAGAGTGGAACTTTTCCGTCAAGTAATTGTTATGCAGATAAATATGCCAGACTTTCTTGAAATTGTATAGTTTAATAGGTTATAATGTGATAGTAACTATCATACTTCTTATTGATTCATGTATCATCAATCTAAATCTGATTTAGTAGACTAATAATACAAAACCACCTTGAGTATTTATTTGGGTCCTCTGGAATTGACGTTGTCAGAGTCAACAAATGAGGGAAATATAATAGAACATGGAGACAATCAGGTCGTATGCTTTATTTCTCTATGCAATTAACAACATTTCATATCTGTTGGATAATCCATCAGTGATTGCTACAACTGTTTCATCTCCCATAAATGGTTATTAGAATTCTATATGTAGTAAGTTAGTCAGACAGTTATACACATCGCAGAACCTGAAACATATGAATCGGTTCAAATTGTCATCCTACATTAACACAACGAGATAAAATATTTTCAAAACAAATACTAATCTCGTAAGGTGGGATCATGGATACGCACTACCACTGAAAAGTCCCATAATAGGACGAAACGGCTGTCCAATGCTTCCAGGTTTTCCATAGTGGTCTATCTTCAATTGACTCATGATTTGAACTATCTATAAAATACTAGAATGATAAGAACAGTAAAAAAAAGACAGAGGGATATTCCCCGTACTCAAGTTCTAGAAGACAAGAATTGGATACATCTATGCCATTATAAATGATTTTAAGCTGTCATAGAATGTCTCTAACCAATGGTTTCGATAATCAGGTGGACTTCAACTGGATAATCTATACACATCAACAAAGTTCAATCCATTAGTCAACGTCCTCCCTAGATTGGTGCCAAAAAAAGGGTAAGGTGTTAGGTACGTTTTGTTAGTACTTCTGTTTCATTATCCCATACAAAATGTTTTTCTAAAGAAAAAGTAATTCTACTTACCAGGTATTTTTTGATTATGATTAACCGACCACATTGGAGCTTGTGAATCACTAATACTTTGTGTAAATAATCCACCAGCTACACTAATTAATTGTTCTTGTGTTGTAATCAATATACGTAATGCTTGTCTAGATGGTGTATGTAATTTAGGTAAAATGGTATTTGTTGTTCCATTATGGGTAACACCAAGGAGTTCGTCATCATCATCGTCATCGTCATCATCATGAATACGATGTTGAAATTTATCACGATTTCTTGTGGATAAGATATTAGATTCACGTTCAGCTGTTGTCCATATATAACAACCACGTTCAATATTATCCGTATGCTCTTAGATATAAATTTAAAAAATAACATTCAACATAGTAAAAATAATTGTGATCAATAATGTTCAAATCTAAATGCATAGATTATAGACAATTCACAAGTACGTTCCCTTTCATAGATCCCCATACATTTATCCCCACCCCTTCTTTGTCCAAATGAATAAATATAATGATTCAATTGAATAAAATGACAAAAAAAAACGGTGATTCACTTTCCCCTAGTTACTCATTCTCTTATAATTCCCATGGAAATTAAATATTATTTATATAATAATGATTTAATCCATATACAATATATCCATCTATTCATAGATTAGGGATAGAAAAATTGTGAGTAAATGAATGAATGCCAAATTTTGTACTAATATATTTATATTTATATATAAAGAAAGGTAAAGAAACTAAACTGTTTAAATCGATTTTTTTTCCCCGGAAAATGATATCATCGATCCATGAGTAGTAGTTTCTAAGTAAGTAACTATTTATGATTTAATAAAAAAACCCCCTTTTACTATCATCACCTTTTCCTATTTGATTCTCATCAGATGAACAGACATTCTCTAACTTAAGTGACAATCTTTAATTCTTAGAAAGAGTAACTAACCAAGATGGAAATTTGAGAATTCAGATTACCGAATTTGGATTGGTTAAAAATATTGTTTCCAACTACGTATGTGTATATGTATATATGTAGATAACATGCAAACATGATTAGTTGTTAAGACTAAAGGGAAGGGGGAGGGAAGGATGTACATGTATAGATTTATAATATAGATAGTTTATGCCAAAAAAATCGAATCGGTCTGATTTGGATCTGTCTAATCAGTTTTAGGTTAAGAAAAATAAAATAAAAGTGACATATATATAGTTGAAATCATGAGTTAATTGAAGGTAGACCATCGTGGAAAATCTGGAAGCACTGAACGGTTGTTTCGTCTTATTGTAGAACTCCTCAACAGTGAGATATGTAATAGAAAATTTGGCTAAATTTAGAACATTTACATGATTCATGGATGAAGAGGTAATGATCAAGAGGTAATAATCATTAAACCAGATCTGAGTATGCATAATTTTGTAATCAGTTCACAGTACTTTTTTTAGAAGGCTAACTACTATCTGTTAACATATCCCTCATGTGTATGTGTGTGTGGTGGGGGAGGAAATTATTCTGATATACTTTCTGGAAAAAATATGCTTTACTGATAAGTCTCAATGACACTAAAAAATGACCTTGTGAACATGATGCCAAGGTGGACTCAGGGGATACAAACAAGTAATTTATCATTATAGTTGAGCTCACCAACTGATTTTCACTAAATCAGTAAGCAATGAACGGTTATTTCGTTTTTGTATGAGACTCTTAAGCAATACGCATCCACGATTCCAACACTGAGGACCGAATCTAGGACTCTTGGTTTCGCGTGAGAATCTTCAAAGTTTAGAACACTGGGTTAGCATCCATTCGTGTTAATGTCTAACTTCAATCAGTTTACGATATTGAGGGTTGCACAATATCATGAGCTGATTGGAATTAGACACTAACACCGTTGGATCGTGGCTTAGAGGTCTAGTGGTTAAGCGTCGACAGGCAAGACTAAGGGTCTTTGGTTCGATTCACAAGTTCATGATCATGAGTGTCAACCGCTGACTATGTTAGGACGAAAAGGTGGTCCAGTCGTTCAAAGTTTTCACTAGTGTTCTAGGTTTGATCAGTTTATGAAAATTCTACATTATTGACAATCTCTCTATCCTTATAATTATTTATTACACTAATACGTCCAGTGATAGGTTATATTAGGATTAAAAATTTGACTTATGGTCTACAGTTAGAAGTAACCTTGACAACTAAGTGGGAGAATAATAATATTCTTGTAATCTGGATGAGTATCTGTGTAATTCTTGCTTTCTATTTACATACATTTATTTATATATTAATGACTTACAAGGAATATTCCACTTATTCTACTCATCAAGATAAACAACTTTCCATAATATTGATGTCAAATACTAGATGGTATCATACTACCATGATATCAATTGTTCTCTTTTTCTCTAATTAAAATTAATGCATAATGATAACGGAATTGAGTAAATTCTATAGCTTAATAAAAATGACAATTTTTCTTTAATTATCAGAAGGGGTTTTCAGTATTTTCATAGTTGAAAGCATTAGTCAATTGAAGCTAGAACATCAGGGAAAACATGGAAGCACTGGACAACTGACTGACTTCAAGTGTTAAATTTTGAAGTTCTAGTGAGAAGCAGTGACTAGTGGAGTTCAAACCAAATCTGTTGTGAGATAGAAATTCTCTGAAGACAATTGGTGAACGGTTGCTCAATTTAGTGGATTGGTTGGAGTTAAACATAAAGACCATCGGATTTCGGCTCAGTGGTCTGTCGATTAAGTGCTCTAGCACGAGACTGGTAGGTCCTTGGTTCGAGTCTCGCGAGTCCGGGTTCGTATATGCGCACGGATGAGGAGTTTCACAATAGGATGAAACGGCCGTCCAGTGCTTCCAGGTTTTCCCTGGTGGTCTAGGTTCAATTAACTCACACTTTCAACTATGATGATTTTTCTTTTCTCAATAATATATTCATTGATTTCGTTACTGTTGGGTATATGCTACTTATTATTAACATATATAAGTAGTATATAACACTATTTGAATTGGAATACCTAACAGTGGAAAATTGAGAAAATCGAATGGTGAAGAACAAGAATATATACAGAATGTTATTGTAATGACAAAGGGAATGAAAGTACAGTAAACTTTGAAACAAATAAATGATGAAAGATGTGCATACGAAGTATATAGTGTCTCATTCGACTATTTCAGCCATTATGATTATTATATACCAATTATTTCTACCGTTCTAATGTTACCAGTTAAATTTAAATAAAACACTAAGCAGTATCAGAAAGGGGTCTTTATGGATATAATAGTAATTTAATAGTTGAGATAAAGAGTCAATTGAATCTAGACCACCATGAAAAACCTGGAAATACTTAACAGCCGTTTCTTCTTCATGTGTGACTCTTCAGCAATGCACATCCACGACCCCGCCCTGCGAGACTCGAACCCAGGACATATCGGTCTCGCGAGCGAACGATTACTCTCTAGACCAGTGAACCAACATCAGAAGATGTTAATCTCTAACTTCAACCAATCCACGAAATTGAGCGACACGTCCACCATTGTCTTGAGTGAGTTACTATCTCACAACATACTCGGTTGAACTTTACTCGTCACTGCTTCTCACCAGAACTGTTGGAAAGCCTCACAATGGGATGAAATAGGCATTCAATGCTTCCATGTTTTCTATGGTGGTTTGGATTCAATTGATTGATTATCTCAAGTATTAAAACAGTAATCATTAAGGTGAATTTGAAACTTGTGTATAATTGACACCTTCAAACCCATATATTTGGTTTATTGAGTATGAAGCAGTAACTCACCCGTTGACAATGAAAAATAGTCTTGTCATATTGAGAACTGATTGAATTTAGATATAGATTGAATACTGACTCAGTTGTTTTAATTCAGAGAGCTTATGGTCAGACTTGATGACTGTGATTCCACTTCCAGTAATGGTTATAGTTACATACTACTGAATGGTCTCATATTAGGCTAAAAGATCGTCCAATGCATCCAAGTTTTCAGAAATTGTCCAACTGAATTAAATCAATGATGCAGACGATGATATTCAACAACCCCCACAAACTCCGTTCATTGAATTAAGTATAAGTAGATCATGGAACAACTAACTATGGTTGTTTAGAAGACACTTTAAAAACAACCGCAAAATTATTACTTAAAATTTCGCAACAAATATAAAAATCTTACCTGTAATAAGTTCACGATGTGATGTGAAATATAATTCAACACAACCAGTTGATGGGAAAATTGTTTCTACAATATAAAAGACAATACAATCACATGAAAATCTACTGAGAATGATTTGAGTAGTATATTGAAAAGAATAAGCTTTTGTTGTCTTACAATGAATCTCAACATATTGTACGCAATGTCTAATCACCTAGACTAGTAGTCACATTGCAGCTTGATCGATAATATTCGATCTGCACTAAGAAGCACCTGACGCACATGACACTGATCACCACCCAGTAGTCAATCAACTGTAAATACACCTCAGTTTTACAGGAAGTCCAGGATAGCCCAGTGGTAATGTCTTTTACTATGAAGCTGAATGACACGTGATCAAATCTGTCAGGGAGTACCAGTTCCCTCAAGATAACAGGTACACCTTGCTGACGAGTGCCAAATAGCAGGAAATCTTGGTCCAGGGTCTGTTGTTAACTACCTTTAACCACTATGTTATCTGTGCTTAATCATATTTGGCTTTGAATATCGAATGTTTTTTTTTCATTCTTTTCCTTACTTATTACCTGAATGCATCTAAATCTCAGTGTTAATGTTCACACTGAAACTTGAATCAAATGTCTAACATTTCAAACGTTAATGAGCTATCCATTAAACTACTGGGTCGAGAGAGAGATTGACTTGTTGAATAGAATAGATTATGTTTGACAACACTGATTTTCTACCCATAAAACTTAGAACTGGATCTCAATGCTTCTACAGACGTATTCATCTCAATCAGTTCTCAGATCGAAGAAGTAATGTAAGAGAACGTATTTCGGAAATAGAAAATGCTAATCATCAACTGGAAGTGGTTATGATAAGTTGAATGCCAACAATAATAAGTAGATACAAACTTGAAACTTGATAGGGTACAGACTTTGTTTTTCTTTTTTCAAAAGATCTCATTAGCATTTGATTGTTTGCCAAAAGATTTTTTCAAAAGTGACTAATTAATTCAGTCCATTGTTATTACAAGTTAGTTTACCATTTGTTGACATGTACCATAAAGTATACATGAAAAAATGTCCATTTACTTCTTAAACGGTGAATATGCAACTAAACATGTTATGCTTGAAGTGTTTCGAATTCACTAGTAACGAACGGAACAAAGACTTGTGATCAGAGACTGATAAGTTAGCTATTCTTATAATTCGCTGCTCTATGATTGGCGGTCTCATCAAGTCACACATTAACTAAGCATCCACTCGGCCACAAGATATAACAGAACACCTCCGAATATATTAATCTACAGTTGTAAAACGTAGCATTTGACAACTGAAAACATGGATAGGTTTATGGTATCTACTCAAAGATTTCTCCGATCAATATCTGCAAATCAGTATTTGTAAATCTAAGTTTATCAGAAGGGGTTTTGTGGTGATTTCGGTAATTTTATAGTTGAAATAATGAGTCAATTCGAGCACTGGACGGCCGTTTCTTCCTATTGTGAGACTCCTCAGCTCAACTACGTGGATTGGTTGAAGCTAGACCGGCTCAGTGGTCTAGAAGTTAGGCCTGGATTCGAATCTCATGAGGCGGGATCATAGATACGCACTGCTAAAGAGTCTCACAATAGGATGAAACGACCGTCCAGTGCTTCCAGGTTTTCCATGGTGGTCTAGCTTCAATTGATTCATGATTTCAACTATGAAATCTGAGTTTAGACAAAGGTTGCAGGACAGGAATAATAAATTATTTGATGAGACTATAGTGAATGGGAAATGCATTATATAGACTCTATCATAGCTAAACTTTATCAATTCTAGTTAACATATAGGTTTGATGGGGACTGTAAGTTTCCGAATTGAAAGTAGAGATCTCTCTAAAAAGTTAATGACTAGTACCTTTCGCTTCAAACACTCAAAATGCTAGTGACTTAAGGTAATATCGAAGGAATCCGCATAGTATAAATGTATGCCAATAAGGGACTTATCAATTGCAGTTATAAACGTCAATAGAAAGATTCAAACAGCCATAACATAACTGATATAAACTGCACTTCATAAGCTAGTGCTTATCTTGACTCAATAGCTAACTAGATAACACGGTGGCATTTTCAGTAATCAGAACTGAGTTCTAATCACAGAGTGAACATCAACTCTGGAATGTAGATACATCCAGCTGACAAGTTCTAAATTGGATAAAACGCACGTCCTAAATTCCACTGCCGGCAACCACCCGTCTCCACTCGTAATTAATGCTTCTTTAGACATATTAAATTAGTCATTCGATCTTAGTTTGTATAAAATAAGCGTTAATTGTTTGCTGGTGAATTAATAATAATACAAAACAAATACGTACACACATACATCATCAGAACATTCCTCCCATTGTGTTTGATCCGAAATAATGTATATTCTTATTCATGAATCGATTGATGCAAGACCACCATTAAAAACCTGGAAGCTCACTAGTGACTGTCTCCAAGGTGATTTCCTGTAGTTCTGGTGAGAAGCCGTGACCAGTGGAGTCCACGGTAAAAACAGGTATCTACCTCAGACAATGGATGAATGGTTGCGTAGCCATTCATGAATCGATGAAAGTTAACCATTAACAACGTTGGATGTCGGCTGAGTTGTCAAGAGGATAAGCATACAGAAGGTCCCAGGTTCGATTCCGGCGTGCTAGACCGTAGGTGCACACTGTCTACTGCGGAGTTACATACTAGGACGAAACGGTCATTCAATGCTTCCAGACTTTCAATGATGATCTAACATCAATCGATTCATGATCTCAAATCAAAAACATAACAATCTCCACCACCCCATATTAATATTATTTTTTATTCAGACAAGAAACTGACATATATCAACAGAATGACAGATTCATAAAGAAATATTGATTTATGATAATAGCTGATTTCATCTATCAGGAAGTAATATAATTTAATAAGACCCCTTTTTTCTCCATATTTATCACCATAGTAACAAAATATTCAAAAAAAATCAAAATTTTTTTTCTTTTTTTTTCATTTGTTCGACTTTCAAGTTGGTCAATAGGATTAGTAAAAGAAAAATTCTTTTTTAAAAATTTGTTAGAAAGCACGTATATACTACTAACTGTTTGATTAGCATCTCAATTCATGCTTTGATACTTCAAAAGTTTTTTTAGTATTGGGTAAACGGATGGCCTTAAATGTTCAGTTCAAGTTTTCCCTATCTTTCATAAGTTTTTCTATACCACAAATGGTAGATATTCTCGTTTTAAGCAATTCCTATTCATTGATGAAGTAAAAATTCGGCCACAAGGGTTAAGCGAAATTTTCTGTTATGAAGCATCTATCATTAGGAGTTGTAGAGTCTTAATCACAACCAATGAGGCATATGAGCCTCAAGGTTCTGTGTAAATGAACGGTGTATATATTTGCTGTGGTTATTGAATTCTATGACATTAGGTATCTTGGCGTTTTAATACTCTCATATGAATTATGTTTAGAGCAAAAATCCTATAAGACGTCTACCTACTTTAAATGAAGTTTCTGAACAGTATCTCAGCTTTAATGTTTGTGTTGGAGTGAAATATATTTAGAGTGCTCATTATACTCCGCCTGCAGCTCTTCTAGAGTTACTGACGGTTCCAAGCCCGGGTAAAGGAGGAAGGTTGGGAATAGGGTTAGCGACCCCATCCCGTAGAAAAACTAACTCACTAAAAAAACGCTAACTAGAAAAAATAATTCAAACCATTTAAACTCTGATCTGGGAGTTGAAGGAATAAATATATATGAAAAGGATGAATATCAACTGGAAAGAACTTGAAAGGATTGCTAACACCAGAGTTGGATGAAGAATGCTGGTGGGCAGCCTATGCTCCTCCACGAGGGGTAACAGGCGTAAGTTAGTAAGTAAGATCATTATACTACACACCAAAAACCTTCACTTTTCAATCGTTACAATACTGAGCTGACATGTGGTGGTGCACATTTTAAAATTCACTCGATTAATGATAAAGCATAAGGATTATTAGAAACGACTAGTCCCTTCAAGGCAAAGTTGAAGTCTACCAGTTACAACTTCAAATCTGAACTTTTAGACTTAATCTCAAAGCAAATTAATATTGAGCAGACAGTTTTACTATTATCGAGATGTTTTTTGAAGAGCAGTTATGTAAATAATGAATAATTTCAAGTTAGAAAGTCAATCATCAAATCACAATTCAGTGGCTTCATGGTCAATAACTTTTTCGGTTTCTTGAAGGTTTTGTTTCAATTTCTAACTGGGTGATGGGCGCCAATACTGAAGAGAACTATACTTCAAAGCCCATGTTCAGTACTTTCTGAAAATTGTAAATCGATGGTGTGCGACACTTGCAAATGATAATTATCTCCATAAATCCCTTTTCAACAATTCTATCCGTTTAGCATGTTAACGTCTGTTGTAACTCTCAAACCAAATATACCAGATTATAGTCCTAACTAAAACATCACGAACACTATGGTCAGAGATTAAACTCGTGAGTTTTCTGAAGATGAAGAAACATTCTCTTCCATTAAAATTGTATTCAACAGAAATGAGTGGTAGTTAACAATGGAATGTTCAGCAGCCTCAGCAGCAGTAGGTCTCAATATAATCAAAGGGAAATTCAAAACTCTCCGATACAACACAAGATGCAGCAATCGAATTACACTTGACGGAGAAGCTTTGGAGGATGTGGAAACCTCTACATATCTGGGCAGCATCATCGATGAACACGGTGGATCAGATGTAGATGTGAGGGCGCGGATCGGCAAAGCAAGAGCAGCATATTTACAACTGAAGAACATCTGGAACTCAAAACAATTGTCAACCAACACCAAGGTTAGAATTTTCAATACAAATGTCAAGACAGTTCTACTGTATGTGGCAGAAACTTGGAGAACTACGAAAGCCATCATCCTGAAGATACAGGTGTTTATTCACAGCTGTCTACGCAAAATACTACGGATCCGATGGCCAGACACTATTAGCAACAAGCTACTGTGGAAGACAACAAACCAGATTCCAGTTTAGGAAGAAATCATGAAGAAGCGCTAGAAGTACATAGGACACAAGTTGAGGAAAGCAGCCAACTGTGTCACATGGAAAGCCTCGACATAAAATCCTGAATGTCAAAGGAGAATAGGAAGACCAAAGAACACATTACGCCGAGAAATAGAGACAGACATGAAAAGAATGAACAAGAACTGGACAGAACTAGAAAAGAAGTCCTAGGACAGAGTGGATTGGAGAATGCTGAGCGGCGGCTTATGCTTTATTGGGAGTAACAGGCGTAAGTAAGTAAGTGAGTAAGTAAGTAAGTAAGTAAGTAAGTAAGTAAGTAAGTAAGTAAGTAAGTAAGTAAGTAAGTAAGTAAGTAAGTAAGTAAGTAAGTAAGTAAGTAAGTAAGTAAGTAAGTAAGTAAGTAAGTAAGTAAGTAAGTAAGTAAGTAAGTAAGTAAGTAAGTAAGTAAGTAAGTAAGTAAGTAAGTAAAGAACAGTGTAATCCAGGATGCGCCTTTCATCCTATTTGCGACCTATCAACTGGATGTGTTTGTTATTCAGAATGAGTGTTTACTCCAGGACTTGAACCCAGTACTATACACTTCAAATAGCCAATACATAATAATGAAATTCAACTTACTCTCACATGCCTCGTCTAAATCAACTTTGAAAAATGATAATTTTTCAGCATCCACGGCACATGTATGAAATTGAGCTCTATAAAGTGAAAAACAATCATTAAGGATTGATTGGGTACAATGTTTTGTTTTAATGGTTAGTGATGGTATCTAAATATTTTTAAAATGAGTAAACATATCAATATATTAACTCATTTTGTAGTGCTTGTTTGTATCTAACCATTGGTATTAATGACTGCCGTTAATCAGCCGCGTATTGATATCCGTGCATCTTATGTGGATTGATTTGATATTGCCATAAGTTACAAGCATAATAAGTAAAGACGAAAGGTGGCTAGCAGTGGAATCGATGACATGCTTTTCGTCCTATTTGAAACTTATCAGCTATATATACCTGAATTCTGTGAAATGATGTTCACTTTAGGACTGGAACCAAGTATCGTTTGCTTTAAACGCCATCGCGTTATCCACTCACCTACTGAATCCTGATAGCCATTTGCTTGTGCAATGGGGTGAAGTTTGAATTCACTTGATATTGTTTGTTTGAATATTCCCATTGTTGTTTAGGACTGAAATTGATCAGTCGCGTATTGACATTTGTGCATACTGTGCTTATTGCCTCTATGAAGACTTAATTCTCAAGCATTATAAGCAAAGATTGATAGTGTTTAGCAGTGGAATCCTTTTGGAACTCGAACCCACTGTTAGCCACTATTCATCTTTGCTTATAAAGCTTGTCAATTGAGGCTTTATCGAGGTAATACGCACAGTATGCATATACGCCAGTATGAAACTGATCAATTGCAGTCCTAAACATCAATGGAAAGATTTAAACAAACACTACAAAATGAATTAACTCCGCCTGTAGCTCCTCTGGAGGTTACTGCCGGTCCCAAGCCCGGGTAAAGGAGGAGGGTTGGGCATGGGGTTAGCGACCCCATCCCGTAGAAAATCAACTCGCTAAAAAACGCTAACCAGAAAAAAATCATTCAAACCATTTAAACTCTGCCCTGGGAGTAGAAGGAATAATTATGACGTCTCATAATGAAAGCCGAGTTCCTTCGGAAGTCATGAGGCTGATGCACCTTCTTACAACCAGAGAGACAATTTTTATAGGTACATGGAATGTCCGAACAATGTAGGAGACCGGAAGAGTCTTCCAAATTGCTGTTGAAATGAGAAAATACAAACTGGAGGTGCTTGGGATCAGTGAGACACATTGTAAGCAGATTGGACAACAACGACTATCTTCAGAAGAACTTCTGTTATACTCCGGTCATGAAGAAGAAAATGCTCCAAATACACAAGGAGTTGCATTGATTCTGTCCAGAAAAGCACAAAATGCACTTATTGGATGGGAATCTCATGAACCAAGGATCATTAAAGCCTCCTTCAGAACAAAGAGAGAGGGCATTACAATGAACGTCATCCAATTCTATGCGCCTACCAACGACTACGATGAAGACGCTAAAGACCAATTCTACGATAGGCTGCAGTCGATCGTCGAGAAGTGCCCAATCAAGGACCTGACAATTCTGATGGGAGATCTCAATGCTAAGGTTGGAATGGACAACACTGGATACGAAGACGTCATGGGACAACATGGACTGGGAGGAAGGAACGAAAATGGTGAGAGATTTGCAAACCTATGTGCCTTCAATAAACTGGTCATAGGTGGCACCATATTCCCACACAAAAACATACACAAAGCCACTTGGATTTCACCGGATCACACTACACAGAATCAAATCGATCATATCTGCATCAACAAAAAGTTCAGGAGGACGATGGAAGATGTGAGAACCAGAAGAGGAGCTGATATAGCATCCGATCATCATTTGCTGGTCGTCAAGATGAAACTAAAACTCAAAAAGCACTGGACAACGGCGCGGACAACATCACAAAAGTTTAATACGGCCTTTCTTCGAGATGCTGACAAACTCAACAAATTCAACACAGCCCTCAGCAACAGGTTCCAGGCCTTTCATGATCTACTCAATGGAGAGGGAACTACCATGGAGAGCAACTGGAAAGGTATCAAGGAGGCAATCATTTCAACATGTCAGGAGGTTCTGGACCACAAGAAGCACCGCCACAAGGAATGGATCACTGTTGGTACACTGGATGAGATTGAAGAAAGGAGGTACAAGAAAGCAGCAATCAACACTAGCCGAACCAGAGCAGAAAAGTCCAAGGCACAAGCCGAATACATAGAGGCAAATAAACAAGTGAAGAGGAGCATCAGGACCGACAAACGTAAATATGTGGAAGATTTAGCGATGACAGCGGAAAAGGCTGCAAGAGAGGGAAACATGAGACAACTGTATGATGCAACAAAGAAACTTGCTGGAAATTACCGTAAACCAGAAAGACCAGTGAAAAGCAAGGAAAGCAAAGTAATCACCGACATTGAAGAACAACGAAACAGGTGAGTAGAACACTTCAAGGAACTCTTGGGTCGACCAGCTCTACTGTACCCACCCAACATCGAAGCAGCACCCACAGACCTCCCCATCGATGTTGGCCCATCAACAATTGAAGAGATCAGCATGGCCATTAGACAAATCAAGAGCGGCAAACAGCGGGACCAGACAACATCCCGGCAGAGGCACTGAAAGCAAATGTAACAGCAACTGCCAAGATACTACACATCCTCTTCAGTAAGATTTAGGACGAAGAACAAGTACCGATAGACTGGAAAAAAGGACTTCTGATCAAGATACCAAAGGAAGGTGATCTCAGCAAGTGCGACAACTACAGGGGCATCACTCTTCTCTGAATACCAGGAAAAGTCTTCACCTGAGTATTATTAAACAGGATGAAGGATTACGTGGACGCCCAACTTCGAGATCAACAAGCTGGATTTCGTAAGGATAGATCGTGCACAGATCAAATCGCAACTCTACGTATCATTGTGGAACAATCAATCGAATGGAATTCATCACTCTACATCAACTTCATCGACTACGAGAAGGCATGTGATAGCGTGGACAGGACGACACTATGGAGGCTTCTTCGATACTACGGCATGCCTGAGAAAATAGTCAATATCATACGGAACTCCTATGATGGACTAAACTGCCAAATTGTCCACGGAGGACAACTCGCCGACTCGTTTGAAGTAAAGGCCGGTGTTAGGCAAGGTTGCTTACTCTCACCCTTTCTCGTTCTCCTGGTGATCGACAATCGAATTACACTTGACGGAGAAGCTTTGGAGGATGTGGAAATCTTTACATATCTGGGCAGCATCATCGATGAACACGGTGGATCAGATGTAGATGTGAGGGCGCGGATCGGCAAAGCAAGAGCAGCATATTTACAACTAAAGAACATCTGGAACTCAAAACAATTGTCAACCAACACCAAGGCTAGAATTTTCAATACAAATGTCAAGACAGTTCTACTGTATGTGGCGGAAACTTGGAGAACTACGAAAGCCATCATCCTGAAAATACAGGTATTTATTAACAGCTGTCTACGCAAAATACTACGGATCCGATGGCCAGACACTATTAGCAACAAGCTACTGTGGAAGACAACAAACCAGATTCCAGTGGAGGAAGAAATCATGAAGAAGCGCTAGAAGTACATAGGACACAAGTTGAGGAAAGCAGCCAACTGTGTCACATGGAAAGCCTCGACATAAAATCCTGAATGTCAAAGGAGAATAGGAAGACCAAAGAACACATTACGCCGAGAAATAGAGACAGACATGAAAAGAATGAACAAGAAGTGGACAGAACTAGAAAAGAATTCCCAGGACAGAGTGGATTGGAGAATGCTGAGCGGCGGCTTATGCTTTATTGGGAGTAACAGGCGTAAGTGAGTAAGTAAGTACAAAATGAATTAATATATTGATATGTTTACTTATTTGAAAGATATTTGAATATTATCACCAACCATAGTTATTGTGATGTCATAGGAATTATACGAATTTATGGTAGATTTGTAATTGAATAACCAACCATTGTTTATAGTTCACTTATAGAGGATTGGATAATAAACATCATCTGACGGTCGGAACTCTTAAATCCTAATTAAGAATAAATAGAATCTCGCGAGTTAGGATCATGGATGCGTACTGCTAAGGAGTCACACGATAGGGCGAAACGGTCTTGCAGTGCTTCCAGGTTTTCCATGGTGGTCTAGCTTCAATTGAATCACGTTTTCAACTATATAGAATAGTAACTGTTAAGATTGAATGTTTATGGACTGCTATTATATATATTTATAAGCTTTGATTATTCTCATACTATACTATTCTTAAATTCCTCCCAAACTATCAGTAACAGTCATTCACACTCACAGACACGTTTCGGCTTAATCTTGTATAATTATTTCTGTTTGATGATACGATGTGGTCTGGTTTCGTTGTATTTATACTGTGTGTGCCTGAAATACATGATTCATACAGTGGAAGCTGAGATTATGTTATGAAATCAACAGGTAAGACAAGGAAACAAGAACCAATAAGGACTATGGATTGACTCTAAACCGCTCGTGTTGGTTACCCGGTCATTGATTTGGCATAGTGCCAGAGGCATACAAGTCGATGTTCTGATTGGCGATCATATCACATTATAATTGATGAGCTATAGGATATAATCGAAATTCAATAAACGAGTTACTGAATTAGGTTCAAGAAGGGAATACATATTAACTATGATCAACCAGACTGTTTTATTGAATGAATTTAACATTTTAATGTTAAATGACTCCATTACGAACACTCCAAGATCATGTATGAAATTGCATTTTTTCGAAAATTTTGTTTACTACTTGGTTAGGTTTCAGTAGTATAACACTATAAAGTTAGAGTTAGAATTCCTACAAATAAATGTCAATATTAGAACGGATATTTTGATAAAAATCGGGCGTCAATTATTACTCTAAAGAATTCATGACAAGTTTGCTATAGGAAACGTTGAAATTTTTTATTCACTTGGTGTTGTTTACTTGTATTTTCCAATTGTTGTTAAGGACTGTGATTGATCAGTCACTTGCTGGCACATAGACATCCTATGTAAACTCCTATATCGGGTGAAGTGACAAGCATTATAAGCAAATGTGGATGGTGGCTAGTAGTGGAATCCAGGAATGTACTGGGTTTGAGCGTCAGAGTGAACATTATTTATGATTCAATTATAATATAGCTGGCAGGAACTCCTGGATGTGATCGGTAGATAATTTGAAACTAAAAACGAAGAAAATGAAAATAATCGACTCACCGAAATAAACATTCTTGAAGTTGTGTTGAAAAGTTTGGTTGTATGTAGCAAGCGATTAAAACATCACCATGTAATGGTAATACTGGTTCAATTGGAAAAATATATCGTTCCACTCGAAAATTTACATTTGGGCATCTAAAATTATTCGGAAATATAGGGGGGGGGATGAAAGGAAACTTGTAAATAACTGTATGGTAAATTGTATGGTAAAGTGACCTGAAACACTTCATGTACAAGTAGCCTCACTTTCTCTTTACAGTTTCACAACTTAGAGCATCTTTTTGATGTCAGTTGGTTGGAGTTAGCCAGGTGAAAACTGTGGACTTGAATTTTATGCCAGTTGGGACTTGTCATCAAGGAGATTGATACTTTCTATGATATTCAGATCCATGACACTCAGAATCACAGTCTTAAATGTTACCGATGTGCCACAAAGATCACCAGTGATCTCCTGAAGAACCGCTGTTTTCATATTGATTAATTACTGTGTTTATTTATTTATTCATTTAAACGATTGATTGTTTTATATGTATTTTAACACATAAATATTGGTACAAGGAAGCACCAGATACATATGCGCCTCACATATCTCATTTGATTTGTGTTAGGGCTGTGATACTTCCCAGGTGCCTAAACCGAAGTAGGTGGTTTTCTTAGGGGACCACACCCGGAGCTTTCGATCTAAAGGTCTGATCGACAAGGCAGTGCAGCATCGTAAGGAGATGTTGTCCCATGGTAGCCGGTGACTAACGATTGATTCACACGCCATTTGTTCCCTCAGGATACTGGAGTTCACGTGCACCATTGGTTTGGAATGAGGGTTTTCCAACACACCTAGGTGAACTCGCAATGTGTCCACTAAACCGGTTAAAGCGCAGGACATTCGGTTTTCGTCTTCTCAATTTCGTAAACAACAGTAATGCAACGATAAGGTAATGAGTAGGACTTCGCTGGCAGAGGCTATATACGCGTGCCCATGTGAGAACATTTCGAGAGGGAGAGCGGACTCTCCCCACTGTTGTCCGTACCAGGACATTCGGGGGCTTTGTAGTAACTAGTGTTATGTTCTTCCGATCATCAGTCAAATGACAGAACTTTATGGGAATTCTTTAAAAAGATAGCTTTCTATTCACAGATATTGATCAAAATAAAAGGAATAGATGAATAATTTCCAGCACAAGTCACTGATTAACTTTAGTCAACCGATTGTCGAAATTAAGGTTACACTGGAAGCTAATTTTCTGTCGTATAGAACTCCTCCAAGTGGATTTCCCGTGTCCACCAACCTGTGTAAAGCGTTGAGCATTCGCTTTACGTCTTCTCAATCTCGCAAATAACATTCATGCTGCGAGAAGGTAATGGGTAGGACTATCCTCGCTCTCAGACGTACTACAGTAAACTGACAGATAAACAAACAAACAAATAAGCATAGTTACTAGGTAGAAAAAGAGAAACAAACTTACAGAACTCTTGTTGTATGCATTAAATTTAAATTTTGATAAATTTTTAAAAAAAGACCACATTCACTATCAACAAATGTTTGAATATGTTTAAATGATGATAATTCACTTAATGTGGATTGACCAATTCGATCTTGTTGTTGTTGTTGTTGTGGTGGTGGTAGTGGTGGTGGTTGGCGGCGGTGGTGGGGATGCTGTTGTTGTTCTTGTTGCTGTCTGATTATTGTTGATTTCAATAAATTCATTGAATCCGTTATATTATTTGATGTGGAAAATATTTGATCCCATCTTCTGATATGATCCATATCATCATCATCATCTCCATTATCAATGAATAAATGATTTTGATTGAATGGTATCAGTGTTTCATCAGTCCTCTTTCGGTGATCATCATCCGTATCATTATGATGATTATATTGGAGTTTATTGGTTAATATCTCATCTGGTTGTGCATATAAAGAATTTTCATTATTTTCAATGATGGCATCAAGTGGTTGACCAAGATAACGACCTCTTGATGAATCACGATATACTATGGCATGTAAATAAACTAAACGATCTTGTAAGATTAAGGCACCAGTTAATAAACCAGAAAAATATCCAACATATCTAAGAAGAAAGAAAAGAAAGAAAAAGGATGTTAGAATTGAGTTAATGTTATAATATGGAAAGTATCATTCGCAGATGACTTAGCCCTCTTGTGGAGTTCCTGAGAAGATTGTCAACATTCTGCAAAACTCATACGATGGACTACAGTGCAAACTCGTGCATGGAGGACAGCTGACAGATGCATTTCCAATAAGGACCAGAGTCAGACAAGGCTGTCTACTCTCCACATTCCTCTTTCTTCAGGTGATTGACTGGATTATGAAGACTTCGACATCTGAAGGGAAGCACAGAATAAAATGGACATCTCAGAATCAATTAGATGATTTGGACTTTGCAGATGACCTAGCCCTCCTATCTCATAGACACGAACAAATACAAATGAAGACAGAAAATGTAGGAGCAGCCTCGGAATCAATAGGTTTCAACATACACAAAGGAAAGCCAAGATTCCCAAATATAACACGGAGAATTCCAAGCCCATCACACTTGATGGAGAAACTCTAGAAGATGTAGATGCATTCACGTACCTCAGAAGCATCGTTGATAAACAAGGAAGATCAGATGCAGATGTAAAGGAGAGAAATGGCAATTGAAGAACATATGCAACTCAAAACAACTGTCTACCAACCAACATCAAAGTCACAATCTTCAATACAAACGTCAAGACAGTTCTACTGTATGGAGCTGAAACGTGGAGAAATATTACAATCATCGTCAAGAACATACAAGCATTTTTTAAACAGATGTCTATGCAAAATACACAACATTCCTTGTCTGGATATCATCAGCAACAGCGTTTTATGGAAGAGGACAAACAAGCTTCCAAATGAACAGGAAATTAGAAAAAGACGTTGGAAGTGGATAGGACATACACTAAGGAAATCACCAAACTGCATCACAAAGGAAGCATTAACTTGGAATCCTGAAGGGAAACGGAAACGTGGAAGGCCAAAGAACAAATTACGTCGGGAAATAGAAGAAGATATGAAACGAATGAATAAAAGCTGGAAGGAATTTGAAAGGATTCCCCTGGACAGAGTTGGATGGAGAATGCTGGTAATTTTAATAGTTGAGATCATTAGTCAGTTGAAGCTAGACTACCATAGTGGATATGTCGCTCAACTTCGTGGATCGGTTGAAGCTAGACATTAGCACCGTTGGATATCGGCTTAGTGGTCTATAGGTTAAGTGCTCTGGCGCGAGACTAGTAGGTCCTGGGTTCGAGTCACGCAAGACAGGATCGTGGATGCGCACTACCACTGAGGAGTCCCAAAATAGGACGAAACGGCCGTCCAGTGCTTCCAGGTTTTCCGTAATGGTATAGCTTCAATTCACTCATGATCTTAAGTATGTAAAACTTTTGATTGTCCCCACTTCTATTCTTGTTCACTACACTACTAACTTTAAGAATAGTAGTAGTGATAGTAGTAAAATACATTAATCAAATCATGTCAACTTCATTGTGTTAGATAGGTAAATATTTGTCCCTTTTATTAGCAAATATTTACATAACCTAATTCAACTAACGTTTCTTTTTTTCAATAATGAAGTTACACTGACTTGTTTTTCTTGTTTTTGTCTACTTTCATTTCTACTATTTATTGATGGATTTATAGTTAAAGCCAGACCATCAACCTGTAAGCATTGGATGGTCATTTCGTCCCAATATAGGACTCTTCAGTATTATTCATCCATGATCCTACTTCCGAGATTCGAATCCAGGAGCTTCGATCTTGCGCACAAATGCATAACCTCTTGATCAATCTTAATTATCAACTGTTTTTTTTCAATTCATGACATAATACATAATGAAAACTGACGTTATGCAGAGATAATCACATCGATTTGATTGATAATGAAGTACTTATTTGTCATTTGATACAATATAAACATATTATAGCTTTGATGAAGATTGATAGATTGTCTGCCAACTCAAATTAACTTATATCATAAAATAAAAGATATGAAAGGGTAAGATTTGGATCCTTTTTGAAGTAGCATGCATCAGTAAATAAACAGTTTGATAGTCTACAGTTAAATTCGTACGTCCTGTGAGGATCACATTGATAAAGGCAATGTTTTTTTACGAGTGTTGTATTTTTAAGGCCAGTTTGATACCAGGTGATTTCTTCGCCAATCGAAATACGACTTATACAATCTATAGGTACTGTGCTAAACCAATAATGTTCAACTAGTATGAGCAGCCTAAAGTCTTTAACGGTCTTTGCTTCTCCCAATCTTGACAGTTGAATCCAGAACATCAACACCAACTCTCATTATACGAAACATATATTTGAAACATACCTGGTTTATATACCAGACAAAACAGATCTGATTACATCATAAAATTGGAAATGACACTTGTACAAGATCAAACCAAAAGTGATTGTGATTGTCAGCGATTGTATTTAAGAAATTGGAGATAACTTAAGAATAGTAAATTGTATCATATTGAAATCTAGGATTAGCGTTACATCCCATTTGTCACTCTTCATTTTGGTACACATGAATCCCAGTGTCGATGCCAACATCGAGATACAAATATCATACCTGTTGAATATGCAAGTGAATACTTAGACTCATTAACTCAATGGGTAGTACATTGGATAGGCTTGAAATTTCGATGGAAACATAAACACTGAGATATAAGTGTATCTAGCTAGCGAGTTTCATACAAGATGAAATGTGTTCCCTAAGTTCAGCTGCTAGCCACAATTCATCTATTTTGTAGTACATTTGACTAGAAAAAATCTTCGCAAAGTCATCCATTTATATGTATGTTACTATTACGCAAGATACTTGGGATCCGTTGATCAGACAATATCAGCCACAACCTACTGTAGGAGATAAAAAACCAGATTTCTGTGGATGAAGAAATCAGGAAGAAGTGCTGGAAGTGGATAGGACATACATTGAAAAAGTCACCCAACTGCATCACAAGACAAGCCCTCACATGGAATCTTAAAAGGTCAAAAGGAGAAGAGGAAGTCCAAAGAACACATTACGCCGAGAAATAGAGACAGACATGAGAAGAATGAACAAGAACTGGATAGAAATAGAAAGAAAGTCGAGGGACAGAGTTCGTTGGAGAATGCTGATCGGCGGCTTATGCTCCATTGGGAGTAACAGAAAGATGGAAAGACTATTTGTCGAAATTTTCTCACAGTATTTCATTTCTCCATTGATATCAGAATTGTTGATGTTGAAATGAAAAATAAAAAAATTTTGTTTTTGTAAAACAATCTCAATTATTCAACGTTGCCAATCAATTTTCGACCACTTTTTTTCTCTCAGATACTACAAAATCGATTAGTACTAATAAAGTGTATTTTTGAATTCGAGTTCTTACTTCAAATTTACACCCCCTCCCCACCCAACAACAACAATCAGCAACACCACCACTATCACACACATACACAGTGTAGACATTTATTAACGTGAGACATATCTTGTTTATATGGATATTAATAAATTCCCACACTGTATTCTGATTGTTAAGATAAATAAAAGAGTTGTCCTTCTTAAAAGTTTTTATAGAGATCTATTGAAGACAACTGAATTGGAATCAGATACCATTGTTCATTAAGAGTATCCTTAGAGCCAAGGAAAAGTGAGAGGTTGGACAAATCATTTCTGTACCCAAAATTCAGGCTTGAGTTCGTGGATTGCCAATGCTTTAGCATTGCATAAAATATTGATACGATCCTATAGATCTAATCAATTTTTAAAATACAACTTAGTATTGCTTGTTTGAATCTTCCCATTGATTTGTTAGGACTTCAACTGGTCAGTCTCGAATTGGCATATGTGCATACTGTGCGTATTGCCTCGACATACCTTAATTCACAAGCATGGTTACCAGAGATGAATAGTGGCTAGCAGTGGAATCCAGGACGTACGTTTCGTAAGACACCCCATCGCACAAATAAGTGGCTATCGGGACTCAGTGGCCGAGTGGATAACGCGATGACGTTTGAAGCGAGGGTACTGGGTTCGAGTCCCAGAGTGAACATCAACTCTGAGATGCAGGTACATCCAGCTGACGAGTCTCAAATAGGACGAAACGCGCGTCAAACTGGATTCCACTGCTAGCCACTATCCATCTCTGCTAATTTTTAAAATAATTCCAAATACGATATTGTTATATCTCAATCAACGATAAGTGCATGACAACTGCTAAGATCTATGTATAGAATGTATATGTTGTGAACAAGAACACCAATCGGGACAATCGAATGTATTTCAGCACAAACTACGGACTATCTCAATCATGTCTGATAACCATAAAGTAAATAGTTAATTTGCAAACTATTAATCAATCATAGATCAGAAGGGGTTTTGTGGAGATTTCAGTATTTTCATAGTTAAAATCATGAGTCAATTGAAGCTAGACTACCAAGGAAAACCTAGAAGCACTGGATGGCCGTTTCGTCCTATTATGGGACTCCTCAGCAGTGCGCATCCACGATCGTGTACTCGCGAGATTCGAAACCCAGGACCTGTCAGTCTCGCACCAGAGCAATTAATCGATAGACCACTGAGCCATCCCATAATAAGACGAAACGGCCATCCAGTGCTTCCAGGTTTTCCATGTTGGTCTAGCTTCAATTGACTCATGATTTCAACTAATGAAAATATTAATCAATTGTCTCAATCTCGGCTGTTCCTTCTACAAATATCAATCCATCTTCTCTGATTTCATTTTGACGGCTTTTTCATACCGATTAAGCTCCGTTTTTGTTTTTTCCTTATCGATCTTCCGCCAAAATACATTTTATGCCTCACCATCACCACATACTACTTATGTGGATATAAGTAACCCACAACATATGTTTTTTGTCGTACAACTGTTTAGTAACTATATTATATGTATACTGATATTCCTCTTATTATAAGCTTTCGTTTGATCTATTGACTATTATTATACGGTTTGATCGCTCTTGAGTAATGCCCAGTCTATTAATTACGGTCTCATACGATCATAGACACTTTTTGATTTGATCTTGTGTAAATGTTAATGTCGGAGAGACTGTAGTTAATGAACGAACCAATCAGGTATAAAATAAAAGGTCTCCGATTTCCGGCGCGAAATTCATTCATCTATTTGCCTATACTGAGTTTCGATATTATATCTGATGTCAGTTTGTGTTGAGAACTTTCAATGTAATTCCTAACTCCAACCATCAACACTAAACCATAATTCCAATTCCTCACACTGGTTTATAATCATCAATTAGCCTTAGGAAGTAGACGGATATCGTCAAGGTCACTTTAGCGTCTCTCAAAAGTCGTCCACAAATCACAATCTCACAAGGCATTATTTTTTAATGATGCAATGTGATCTTGTTCGTTTGTATGCAAACTGAGTACATCTGAAACATATGATTCATATCATGGAGGCTGGTATGGACGTTCTGGATCAAAACTATCAAGATTATGACAGAAAAAATCATCTTGGTAGACTAATAAGAACACTTTGACTGATCGTACAGGTTTATACATCCTTAGTTTGATCGTATAAGTTGATATCTCTAAATTGCTATGATATCATTAATCTGACATAAGGACATCATAGTTACATCATTCATGAATAGTAATGAATGGGAGAAAAGATCACATTACCTTTTTTGTGAAGGATTCAATTCTCTAGCTAAATTGTCTTCATAGAATTTTTTCAAAATAGTATGTCCTAAAACAAGTTCATGTTTGAATCTATGAAATGTAAAGAAACAAAAAAGAGAGAAAACTGTAACTAGGTACTCATGTGGTATTGATAGTATTCAATCAAATTAAGGGTCTAGATAGATACAACAATGTTTAATGCTTAGTGATTAATCAGTATATGATTACTATCAGGGATAAACTCATGTAGTTGGTATCAAGTTTACTTACCTACTTAATTATTTACACCTGTTACTCGTAACGAAGAATTAGCCACCGATAAGCATTCTCCAATCCACTCTGTCCTCTTTCTTCATTTTTAGTTCTATCTAATTGTTCTCCATTCTTCTCATGTCTGTCTCCATTTCTTGGCGTAATGTGTTCTTTAGTCTTCCTCTTCTCCTTTGGCCTTGAGGATCCCAGATGAGGGCTTGTCTTGTGACGTAGTTGATTGCTTTCCTCAATGTGTGTCCTATCAACTTCCAGAGCTTCTTCTTGATTTCTTCATCTGCTGAAATCTGGTTTGTTCTCCCTCACAATAGAAGATTGCTGATAGTGTCTGGCCAACGGACCCGAAGTATTTTGCATAGATAACTGTTAATAAACACTTGTATCATCTGGATGATGAATTTCGTAGTTCTCCAAGTTTCCGCCCCATATAGTAGAACTGTCTCGACATTCGTATTGAAAATTATGATCTTGATGTTGGCTGACAATTGTTTTGAGTTCCAGATGTTCTACAGTTGTAAACATGCTGTTCTTAGTTGGCATCAAGCCAGACTTTAAAGTGTAAATATATAAGTTATACTAAGAGGTCAATAGTATGGTACTACTTGACGTTGATTGTAATCTTTCGAGAAAAATTAAACGAGAATGGGATTTCGTTGAGATTTTAGTAATTTTATAGTTGAAATCATGAGTCCATTGAAGCTAGACCACCACGGAAACCCTGAAAGCACTGGGCGGCCATTTCGTACTATTGTGTTACTCCTCAGCGGTGCACATCCACGATTCCATCTCGCGAGATTGGAACCCAGAATCTATCAGTAACTATATTGTTCAAAATGTGACACTCAATTACATAAACATTGTTCAGATCAACTCAATTTTCTCACTGCTTCATCGAAATTTATAAAAGTGACTAAACATGAATTTCAGTTGATCATCGAAATGACATCAAACATTGAAAGAATGAACTTGAATGAATAGTCATATACTTGTTAAGTTGAATTGATATCCATTAGTTGATTTACTAGTCGCTTACACTAAATTGTGTAAATATGGATGAGCATTGTTGAGGTGTCCCACAATAGGACGAAACGGAAGTCCAGTGCTTCCAGGTTTTCCATGGTGGTCTAGCTTCAATTTTATTCTTGATCTCAAATATTAAAACTACTATAATATTCACTCGGTCAGGCATGCGCACCAGATCATGAGTGAGAATATTGTGCTCATCTTCTCCTACAACCACTAGCCAGTTTAAATCAGTCATTCCTCGATATATTAATTGCATATCCGATACATCTTCTAACCTATTCTCTTCTAACTGACTTCTGATTTCCGTAAGTGGGTATGTTTCGATCGTAGAAGGTGTTGTCAAACTTGTGGCATCTTCACATTTCCCTAATTTTGGCTTAATTCTGTGCTCATAAATCAAACCAAAACATTCGTTCAGTACACAAGATATCTATAAACAATAGAGCTATCTACAATATAGAAATCAGGAAGATAGATTTTTCTAAGAACACATACCTTCTTAGTCGATTCTCATTCCATTGTAAACCACGTGCAGTTGGTGAACCAGGTCTTTGTCCATATAATGGACCAAATCTTGCTTTTGATTGACACATATAAACAGCTAAATATGTTGCTAATAAACATTTTGGTCCGGTACAATGAAGAACAGCAACACGATTATTAATTGCATTGATTTCTTTAGTTTTTTTAATATCATTTGTTGATGGAATATCATGATTATGTAACCAAAAATCCAATTGATCAATTGCTGTTACTAATTGTTCTAAAGCTGGAGCAAGTGTACCTGCCCAGAATAGATCAATTACAGGAGTCTAAAATGATAAAAAAAACGTACAAAATTTAAGTCATATACCTAACCTCCTTGGATATTACAATAGAGTATACCGGTATACTTACAGAAAAATTGCAATTTAACTAATTACTGACTTCCTATTAAATATTTCATCAAGAATAATATTTCTGTTATCAGTATGCGTTTTAATTCTTTTAAATTACGTCAAGATGATGTTTGTCATTGAAGTTATCTTCGATACTATTTTCAGTTTCATAGGTTGGTTGAAAGGTTAAACTTTATTCTAATGTAAATTGATTGGAAGTAATCATCAGGGAACCATGTTGGCACCGTCAGTAACATTAAGAAACTATTGTCTAAATAACTATACATGCTAGATGATAGCTAGTCTAGTGAAACATTTGTAAGGCGATTTGAGGAAGACGACAGGAAATGCCAGCTGGCACACCTTGAAGAAGTGTACCTACAATCTTGAATCAACTGACTCCCCATATAGACAGCTACACGGTTAAAGATATTATCATTCACCAGTCTCGGATCAATTAGCTCAGTGGTATTATCCAAAGAGATCATATTTACAGACAGTGACAAATAGTTTTTCTCTTAGAATTCAATAAGAGGTGAAGTACTAACTCATGCATTTCAGTAGTATATTATGGATAGTGTAATTTTTTTAATAATAGATTAGATTATATTTTGACGTATTTACACCTAAACGTATTAGATTGATATAGGCTTCCAGTTATTCAGTCTAGTTGAAGCTTATGCTTCTTCATTCACTGAATTCATTGAGCATTATGGGTTATTATGAAGTGCTTAGTTATTTGAAACTGAAATCTTGAAAAAAACTTCGACATGGCTGTTGTGCTGATGATTTCGTTTAGAAGAACAATGAAAGTTCCACAACCAAATCATCAAGCTCAAGAGAATAAAAATCTCCATCAAAATCATCCACTTTAGCTACAAATCTTTTGCAACTTCTCATAGAATATTCTGTTGTCAATTATTTTATAGTTGAAGCTAAACCATCATGGAAAACGTGAAATCATTGGACGGCTTAGTATAAGACTCCTCAGTAGTGCTCATTGACGAAACGCTCGTGAGATTCGAACTCAAAACTTTCAGACTCGCACTTGACCGCCTAACTTCTAGACCAGTCATTCACGGATCGATGAGAGTTAGAGATTAACGCCTTTGAATGCCGACTCATTGGTCTAGAGGTTTGGCATTCTCGCTAGAGACAGAAGGTCTTGGGTTCGAATCCCGCGTGTGAGACGGTAGATGCGCACTGCTGGGGTGTCCCACAATAGGATGAAACTGCCATCCAGTGTTTCCATGCTGATTTAGCTTACATCAACAATAAAATAAAATTTGTCGAAAAATTCTAATTTTAAACATAATTATAATCTTACTCGACTTGAAAAGTGTAATTCTTTAGTGAAACCAGATAGATTAAATATCTGTAAATAAATTGAAAAGTATGTAATTATAAGTTGAACATTTCAGTTTCATTATTTCACAAAGAATTAATAAAGATCATTATAATCAAAGATGGCTAGCAGTGGAATCCAGGAAGTTCGTTTCGTCATATTTAGGACTCGTTAGCTGGATAACGCCATGCTTTTTGAAGTGAAAGATACTGGGTTCGAGTCTTAGAGTGAACAACAACTCAGAGATATAGGTAAATCCAGTTGAACGGTCCCAAATAGAACGAGACGCGCGTCGTGGATTCCACTGCTAACCACTATCCATCTTTGCTTATAATGCTTGTGAATTAAGGCTATATTGAGGCAATACGCACAGTATGCACATATGCCAATAAGAGACTGACCAATTACAGTCCTAATCATCAATAGGAAGATTCAAACAAACAATACCAAGTCAATAAAGATCATTGTTATCATTAACGTCAGTATGAGGAAAGGGATTTTGGAGATTGTTGAATTATGTAGTTTTACGTTATTAATTCACTGTAGCTATACGAGTGCTGAAAACCAGAACCCTTTCATTGATGCACATTCTCAGAGGCGAGTAGCCTTAATCAATTCTCACTGCAGCTAATGTCCGCGTTTTGATACTTTACGTATCACGCTTACTTTTCTTGAAGGGAAAATCATTTCACCAGTTAGTTGTAGAGATAAGTAGGTGTTTGTTGATATTCAGAATTGAAAATCTATAGTCTTTGTTGTTATATATCCAAAAAACAAAATTGCTGCCCATGTAAACTCATTAGACAACACGTTGAACTCTTCGAAAGGAGGTAAGTGTATACACGTCTTGGAATAAACAACGATATTAAAATACAGTTCATATTCAATTGATGATTCCGAAATAAAGACGAAACATATATCATGAATCATATTAGTAGTCAAACAATTTGAAACTAAAGTATCCATACAGATTTCTAATAATAACAACAACAACAACAACTTTGATGTACTCAACTTCTATAATCGATTCCTTATTGTCTTCCAGTGAAATACATTCTATACGTGACCATCACCATATACTACTTATCTGGATATAAGTAACTCAAACCACATTAGTAATAGTGTGAGTAGTATTAATAGTAATGTGATGAATAATAATAATATCATACCACATACCCTATAATTTTCACCATAACGTTTTTCAAATGCTTTACATAACCATCGAGCACCTTCATTATGATCAGTTTTAGTTGCTTCAGGTGGATAGCTAACAACTTTAAAAAAGGGAGAGAAGAGTAAGGCAAAAATACTAAAGAAGTAGATTATACCAATGTAAAAGGGTAATGATTCATGGATATGGTAAACTGTTCATTATTTGTGTATCACTAGTTTTCTACCCATGAATGTATATTGTCATCATCAATTCTGTCTGTTAATCCTATAAACTTACATGTACTCACCAAGTCTTTCTCATGATGATTAACTTGTTTTCTCCTACTCGGTAGTTATTCTGGAAGAGCTAAAAGTGAAGTTCAATACGAATGTCAAGACAGTTCTACTGTATGGAGCTGAAACTTCGAGAACTACTAAAACCAATGTCAAGAAGGTACAAGTATTTATAAACAGTTGTCTGAGCAAGATATAGGTTGATCGGATACCACGAGCAACTACTCACTATAGAAGAGAAAAAACCAGCTTCCAATTGGTGGGGGATTTAGGAATCGACGACAGTGGTGAAAGGTACATACATTTTAGAAATTATCAATTTATGTGACGAAGCAAGTGATATTATGGAATCGTAAAGGGAAACAGAAAAGCGAAAGTCCGATGAACACAGAAGCAGACATGAAAACGATGAATAGCAACTGTAAACTACTAGAATGTATAGCCCAGGACAGATTTTGGTAGGATGCCTATGCTCCTCCACAAGGGATAACAGGTATTAGTAGTAGTAAGTAAGTATATCATGATAGAAAAGATCTGACAACAATCCAAAATGCCAATTCATTCAATTCTGGCTACATGAGATTAGCTTATCCTTTGTGTAAATTCTAATCATGTTACCTGGATCACATATTCCCCTACAAAGCTGTATATGATTACTAATTGTAAAAATGGAGGCTTCTCAAATATCATCTATTCTATTTTCCTATATTAATATGCCAATAACTAACCAGACTTCATATTTATTCAAACAGTAGATGACTTTCTGCAACATACAGAAATTTCAAATTGAATCATTTCATCCAGTTCTAAAAGTAGATTAAATTCGATTTACGGTTTATGCTACTTATATCTATTGTCCTAAGTAGTATGTAATACTAATCAAAAGTTAAATGGCTGACAGCAGAAGGCTAAGAATATCTGAAGTGAAGAAAACAGAAAGGGAAATAGAAAGGAAATGTGAACTGGAAGAATCATACAGAATGTTAAAGACAAATGATGGAAATCTGTCAATGAAATTTTCAGTGTATGGTTCTCATATTTTACAAAGATACTTTGTAATTTTGTGTTATAATACATTTGATGTTCTCATTTGTGTACTCATTCATTACAAATCGACTACATTCAACATAACTAATGTTTCAATGGCTAGTAAGTTTAGAAATCTCAATGTTACAGAATATCGGCTCTGTGTGATTCAAACCTAGGACCTAACAGTCTCCCGCGAGAACCTGCATCAAACGGTGTTAGTGTCTAAATTCAACCAACACACAAAATTCATCAACCGTCCACCATTGTCTTTAGTGATTTACTATCTCATGACAGACCCAAGTGAACTCCATTGGTCACTGCTTCTCAAATCTCGCGGGTCGGGATCGTGTATGTGCAACGCTGAGGAGTCTCACATTAGTACGAAACGGTCGTCCAGTGATTCCAGCTTGTTCATGGCGGTCTAGCTTCAATTGACTAATGAATTCAACTACAAAATTACTAAAATCTCCGCAAAGCTCCTTTCTATAATAATATAATTTTCGAGATTCAAATGGATAATTGTGACTAGCGTTTAACTATGTTGGATAATTATCACCCTAATAGCCTATTTAAATAAATTAGGAAATGAATATCATTGAATATCAATTCAGTTGTTGGATTGTTAGGGAGTAGCCTAAGTAAGAAGGTTCCTAGTTCCAGGCTCTGATAAGATTGTGGATTTGAACTGCTAAGGAATCTTATTCTAGTATAATAATATTAGTCCTTCATCGTTTTTGATGATACTTTAAATCATGGACTACCACTACTACTTAACTAATAACAATCAACTTTTGCTATTAGTATGAGGGTTTTGTGAAGATGGTTGAATTCAGGAATCGATTCAGGCTAGACCACCAATGACGATCTGATAGCATTAGATGACAAATTCGTCATAATGTGGTATGTACTACTGGTGTCGATAGATATAAGTAGTATTTATCGTTGATCGAAAATAAAACGCCTGGAGACAGGACGTTAAAAAAACCGAAGAAAAGAGAACGAGAAAAGAGAGTGTTTGGTATGGAAACGAAGGACCAGTAAAGTCTGATACCATTTGCAAAAGGAACAGTCAAGTTTGTGACATGGGATTGACATTTTGCAATTTAAGTATTTACTGTATGATCCTCTGATTTTACCAGGAGATTCGATTTTCCCCACTTGTCTTCTTGTTCAGTACAATAGTAAGGAACTACTCAGTAATGTACACCTACGAACCCACGTGTGAGACTCGAAACCAGGGCATTCGGCATCTTGCGCAAATTACTAACCTGTAAACCACTGAACCAATATCCACTGTTTTTATTGTCTAACTTCAATCAATCTACAAATTTGTATAACCCTTTATCCATTGTCTAAAGTAGATACTTGTCTCTCCCCTACACGGATTGAACTCTACTAGTCACGGTTTTTCACTAGAACTTCAAAAAATCCATCTTGAATCTAGTCACTCGTAAGCACATGATGATTATTAGTATTATAAGAATAAGAGGTTTTATGTAAAGATTACAGTAAATGTAATAATTAATCTATATCTCTATCATGTTATCTCCCCCTCCCCTCCCCCCCCTTAAAAAAATATACATAGTCCAGATGTTGTATCATTTGACTACCGAATAATTACATCATACATTGTATCCAAATGTGTATCCAAATTGAAAACAAGGAAACAACTACACATTAAATCGAATAAAGTTAGAACCATATCATTACATAATTATAGTATAAATACATTCTATTGAATGGATAGATGACGTACATAGTTCTTTTTCATATCAATATTCATAGTAAGATTTAAACACCATGGAGATTAAGTGAAAACAGGATTAATTACTACGGTGAAAAAAATCTATTAGAAATATTTCTCCAGTTCATTAGTTGGATATAAACTGAATTGAATATTGTGGGAGAGTGAGTTTTTGTAGAGATTAGGTTCGAATCCCGTGAGTGGAATCGTTGATGTGCATTCTTGAAAAGGCCAATACTCGGACGAAACATTTTTCTAATGCTTTATTTCTACAGTTCATTAGTTGGATATAAACTGAATTGAATATTGTAGGAGAGTGAGTTTTTGTAGAGATTAGGTTCGAATCCCGTGAGTGGAATCGTTGATGTGCATTGTTGAAGAGGCCAATACTCGGACGAAACATTTTTCTAATGCTTTATTTCTACAGTTCATTAGTTGGATATAAACTGAATTGAATATTGTAGGAGAGTGAGTTTTTGTAGAGATTAGGTTCGAATCCCGTGAGTGGAATCGTTGATGTGCATTGTTGAAGAGTCCAATACTCGAAAGGAAACGGTTGTTCAATGCTTTCAACTTTTCATTGTTGATCTAGTTTTAATTGACTCATGAACTTAACTATTAAATTCTAGAAGAGTTTTTTTTTTGAAATCGAAGAAGACATGGATTGATTGAAAGAGTTCCAAGTGATATTATGAACTCTTACACTATGTAGAAAAGGATCGTTTAATTATTTAATAAGTTTTAAATTAGCATGTTTTGAGGATCTTCATTATCGATAGTTGTCTCCGAACTCTTTTTAGCATTATCAAATGATATTTCATCAGTTATATAGATACAAGCAGACAATCATGAATAGTGATCTGATGAAGAAAATATCAAAGTTCTGGATTGAGGAGATTCAGAGAATAATAGAGAGTTCATGAAGGCAATCATTATAAATATCTGTTTAGACATAATATTTCAATCTATTCAGATATGGTCAACCAAACAAGACTGTTGGAGAAAATACAAAGATAAATAAAACTCAGAAAATGTTCTAAGATAATCGATCAGATGCATAATCATCTTGTGATGTGGGTTACTTATATCAACATAAGTAGTATATAATGATGGTCAAGCATTGAATGTATTCCAGTAGAAGATCGATAAGAAAAAACGGGAACGGGACGCAGTTGGTATGAAAATGCATGAACAATAATAATCGGAGACGATGGACTGATATTTACAGAAGGAACAGTCAAGATTGAGAACATTGATTGGTAGTTGGCAAATGAACTGCTTACTGTATGGTTGTCAGATTTTATTGAGATAGTCTATGATTCGTGCTGAAATACATTCGATTGTCCCCACTGGTGTTCCTGTTCACTAAACGTGGATATGCACTGCTGACGAGTCCCATAATAAGACGAGAAGGCCATTGTGCTTACAGGATTTCTTATGGTATTAAACAATGATATTTTAATTAAATAAACGTTTGTTTCATATGAAGAAATTGTTGAAACTTATTACGTTACGCAATTTGAAATTAAGAACCAATGAAAAGCTACTTCATTATCTAAGTATAAGACTTCATAACAATGGATTATCAAGACGTTATCTAACTCCGCATGTAGACCCTCTGGAGGCTACTGCCGGTCCAAAGCCCGGATAAAGAAGGAGGGTTGAGCATGGTGTTAGCTACCCTATCCAGTAAAAAACCAACTCCTTTAAAAAACGCTAATCATAAAAAAATAAACTCTGCCTAGGTAGTCAGAAAATCTTCATTTGGAACAGTTATGAAGCCTCATGATGAAAGCCGACTTCCTTTCGATAGTCCTCCTGACAAACAGAGCAACCATTTATTCAGGTATATAGAATGCTCATGCAATGTGAGAGGCCAGGAGAGTCATCCAAATGGCTACAGAAATGAGGATATACAATCTGGAGGTGCTTGGGGAAGACCCTATCTGGATAACAAATAAAGTGCTCAGTTTCTGTTTACTCATAAACCTTTTCTTATGAGTCAAATAAAGCTGGATCACCATGTAAAATCTGAAAGTACTGAACGGCCGTTTCGTCCCAGGATGGAACTCCACAACAATGTACATCCACAAACACACAAACGGGACTCGAACCTAGAACCTTCGACTCATGAATCCGAAACCTGTAATCTTATACATGATTGATTCGTTCATAAATTACAATCTCACCATTCAATCATTTGTTATATATTATATCATTTAATAACTTACCTAATAAACGATCTGTTATGTATGTTAAACGAAATCTTTGCCGACCAACACTAGCTAATTCAGCTGATAAACTACATACTAATGATGTTCTATATGATTCTTCAGATTTTTGTAACCATGATTGATTGGATTTATCTTTCAATTGATGATCTAATTGATTAGTTGTTATAGTTGAATGAATATTCAATGGAGTTGTTTGTATAAGACTAGGACTTATACGTTGATGTATTAGATCAGTTTGAGGATCATCCGATTTGAATGAGGTAGGTGGAAAGGGTGCAATCCATGCAGATGGCATAGATAATTCATCGAATGTTTTATTACGACTAAGCTATGATTGAAAAAAGAAAGAACGAATTAATATACATAAATAGAGTTATATTGATGTGTGTACTACTGATGTCAATAGATATAAGTAGTATGTATCATTAATAGGAAGTGAAATGTCTGGAGGCAGAAGGTTAAGAAGACCGAACGAAAGAGAACAAGAACAGAGAATGATTAGTGTGGAAACGAAGGAACAATGAAGTGTGAGACGATTGATTGTCATTTTGCAGTTGAATTATTTACTGTACGGAAATAGGGTTTTACTAAGTGATACTGTAATCATGTGTTGAATTACATTCGATCGTCCTCAATTTTACAATGGACATTTCAGAATCGATTAAACGATTCGGACTTCGCTGATGACCTAGACATCCTATCCTATACACATGAACGAATACAGATGAAGACAACTAATGTAGCAGCAGCCTGTAAATCAATAGGCCTTAACATGCACAAAGGAAAAAGCAAGATTTTTAAATATAACACGGAGAATGTCAAGTCAATCACATTTGATGATGAAACTCTGGAAAAGGTGGAAACTTTCACGCACCTGGGAAGCATCATTGATGAACAAGGAGGATTCGATAATGTAAAGGCGAGGATTGACAAAGTAAGAATAGAATTCCTACAGTTGAACAACATATGCGACTCAAAACAACTGTCTGTCAACCAACATCAAGGTCACAATCTTCAATACGAACGTTCACAAACCGACTAGCAACTAATAATATGTACAGGTTTATTGATTTTATGTTCTGTTAGATCGAAGGTATAATGATGAAGTTTTTTTGTTCTGATTTATACTTCATCTTAAATCACCTTGTTTGAAAGGTACACTCACTACGTGAACAATTGTTTTCCAAAGTTTTATGATGCTCATTTATATTCGTGTTATTTGACTATCTTGATTAGTTTTACCTTTGGTCATGTTAATTGTTTTTGGATGCCAGCTCCGTGGTTTAGAGGTTAAACGCTCACGCGCGAGACTGACAGGTTCTGGGTTCGAATCTCGTGAGGCGGGATTGTGGATACGCACTGCTGAGGTGTCCCACAATAGGATGAAACCACCGTCCACTGCTTTCAGGATTTCGATGGCGGTCTATCTTCAATTGACTCATGATTTCAACTATATAAAATTGTTTTTTTCATTATTCTCTCCTAATATTATTCCATGACCATATGTTTACTTAATCTATTCAAGATGTTTCAAATATAAAGTATGTATAGGCGTTTCAGTTGTAATGGTTAATACTATGGTTTTAAGTTGCGGATAGTTGTGAAAACTCCATCAATTAAATGTATTTATGTTATTCATATTTATAAATCAACTCTCCTCCTTGTAGCGCCGGTCCTAAAACCGGATAAAGGAGGAGGGTTAGGCAATGGGTCAGTAACCTCATCCTGTAAAAAACAATTTTACTGAAAAGAACTCATCAATCTTTTTGTAGGTACTTTCTGGAAATATTAGAGTGATGTGTCTAAAAGTGCAACTTCTGATCCCACCAGAATTAGTGATACCTCAAATCTTATTAAACATTAACCCGTTTAATAACGAAAAAACAGTCAGAATACGATCATTGTGTCATGAGTAGAAAATGATTTCCAGGTAATAGGTAGATTAATGTGAACACCCCAATTATATAATCGGTAACTCACTACCCTGTTAGATCAATGGTAAGGCCTTAGACTCAGAATCGGAATCATACAGTCTCGAGTTTAACTGGTAACATCAGCTTTCATAAGACTGTAAGTAGATTACACTGACCAATGTAATCCAGTGTGGAATTTAGGTTCAGTATTTCCTATCGATTAGTTCTGATCGGTCAGTATCAAAATCATATCACATATTTAGTACCTCAAGAGTAGTATACATCATTGATTGAGGTATTATATTAACAAATGGGTTTTAGATATAACGCTATCTCAGAGGAAGCAGTTGTCTTGCTCTACCTGTTGATTTTCGTCTATTTGTTAGGCAAAAACCAACAGTAATACCAGTCTCGCGCGCGAGCGCCTAACCTCTAGATCACTGAACCGGCATCTAATGGTGTTAATGTCTCACTTCAATTAATCAACGAAATTGAACAACCGTCCACCATTGTCTTTAGTGAGTTACTATCTCACAACAGACTCGGTTGAACTAAACTGGTCACTGCTTCTCACTATACCTCCAGGAAATATATTTGGAGCCAGTCACTAGTGAGAATATGTTGATTAATATCAGCAGGGATTTTTGCGTACATTATAGTAATTTTAATAGTTGAGATCATGAGTCAATTGAAGTTAGACCACCATTGTGGACGTGTCACTCAATTTCGTGGATCGGTTGGAGTTAGACATAAACACTGTTGGATGCCGGCTCAGTGGTTTACAGGTTAAGCGCTCGCGTGCGAGACTGATAGGTCCTGCGTTCGTATCTCTCAAGGCGAGATCACTGCTGAGGTGTACAACAATAGAACTAAACGGCCTTCTAGTGATTCCAGGTTTTCTATGGTGATCTAGCTTCAACTAATTCATGATCTCAACTTTTGGAATGACTAAAATCTCCACAAAAACCTTTTCTAATAATAATTTCGTCAACTAAAATGATTATCGAAGAAAACATCTATACTACTAATATTGTAAATAATGTATAGTACATTATACCATAATAAGTACTTTATATACTACTTACAATGTATGAAATTTGTTCTGGACGTAGAGGAGAAGAAATCTAAAAAAGATTAAATAAAACAGAATTTCATATATAAACTATTTCTTTGAAATAAAATTGGATACATTATATCGTGTTTGTTTTTTATTTACTTACTTACGCCTGTTACTCCCAACGGAGCATAGGCCGCCGACCAGCATTCTCCAACTAACTCTGCCTAGCGATTTCCTTTGTAGTTCTATCCAGTTTTTGTTCATTCTTCTCATGTCTATCTCCATTTCTCGGTGTAATGTGTTCTTTGGATTTCCTCTTCTACTTTGACCTTCAGGATTTCATGTGAGGGCTTGCTTTGTGATTCAGTTGATTGCTTTCCTCAATATGTGTCCTATCCAGTTTCAGCGCTTCTTATTGATTTCTTCCTCTGCTGAAATCTGGTTTGTTCTCCCCCACAGTAGAAAGTTGGTGATAGTGTCTGGCCAACGTATCCGAAGTACCTTGAGTTGAAAACTGTTAATAAAGACCTGTATCTTCTGGATAATGGCTTTCATAGTTCTGCACGTCTCCGCTCCATGCAGTAGAACTGTCTTGATATTTGCATTGAAAATTCTGATCTTGGTGTTGGTTGACAGACAGTTGTTTTGAGTTCCAAATGTTCTTCAGTTGTTAATATGCTGCTCTTGTTTAGACGATCCGCGCCCTCACATCTTCATCAGATCCACTGTGTTCATCAATGATGCTGCCCAGATATGTAAAGGTTTCCACATCCTCTAAAGCTTCCCAGTCAAGTGTAATTCGATCGGGGCATGTTGTGCTGTATCAGGAAATCTTGCTTTTCCTTTTGTGTATATTGAGACCTACTGTTGCTAAGGTTGCTGCTACACTAGTTGTCTTCTCCTACATTTTTCGTTGCTGAGTGTGATAGAATAGCCAGATCATCTGCGAAGTCTAAATCGTCCAGCTGCATCCTAGCTGTCCACTGTATCCCGTACTTCCCTTCAGATGTTGACGTCTACACTCAATCACCAGGAGAAAGAGAAAGGGTGAGTGTTTGTTTATGGACAGCAGCCAATTGTCATTGATATCATAAACCAACCTATATTAAACAACCGTTAATAATCAGGATGTATCAGATAGTTGTTTCATCCAATATGGGACTCCAAAGTAATGAGCACCCACGACCCAACCATAAGAGATCAAACCCAAGATCTTTGATCTCATATATGATTCCTAGTCTCCATGCCTTTGAGCCTTCATCTAAAGATGTACATGTCCATGTTCATTTCATTCAAGATATTCCTTTATCAAGTTACATATTCTATGGTATATAAATGTTTCATATCCGGCATGGCTAAACTACACCGTCCGTGATTTCCAACTAGAACTCTAGGAATTCAATCTTGAGATACATCACTAGTAAGCACATGATAATTATCAGTATTGTGGAGTTTATTGGATTAAGTACTAAAGTGAGTTAGCCAAAATAAGGTGGGTCATGCAATATCACAAATAGAGTGAATTCATACATGTACATCACTAGATGATAATTCCATGCTGTAAAATATTAAGTACTCGCTGTTAGGCCTCAAATCCCTTTGTTAGATCCTTTATGGGATCATGAATGAGCACTACTGAGCAGCTTCATACTAGAAAGAAATTATTTGAATTAAGTCACATTGGTTACTACTTAGTAATTAATCAGTGGAAATATCTTTACTTTATAAAAAGTCATGGGGAATACCTGAGACTGTGAAACTGAGTGACTCGTGTTTGAATGAAACAGAGAGCATCCGTTACTTCAATAGAGCAAGTGCTTACGATTTTATTTAAACTAAGCAATTACAGAAAAACAAGAAGTATTGGTTAACTGTTTTGGCCTATTAAGAAACTTTTCTTCGGATACCTGTACAAAGATTGAAGCCATGGTCACTGAATCACTTGGTTAGTGTGTTGCCTTTAGATCAGTAAGTTGAGGTCAAATAGTTCAAACATAAAAAATTCAGATTGGTATCATGAAAGGATTAGTGTTAAACCACCATTGACAATCTGAGAGCAATGGACGGTTGTTTCGTCATAGAATGAAACTTCTCGGTAATGCGCATCCATCATCCCACATATAGAACTTGAAACCAGGACTTTTGATCTTGCGCGCCAACTCTTAATCCGTAAACCACTGAACCGACATCCAACGGTTTTAATGTTGAAATTTGATTGATCCATGATCTCTCGTAACCGTTCATCCATTGTCTGAAATGGATAACTGTCTCCATCCGACACGGATTGAATTCCCCTGGTCACGGCTTCTCACTAGAACTCCAGGAAATCCACAATACCCCATTCCTATAATAACCATGTGCTTACGAGTGACTAGCTTCAAGATGGATTTCGTGGAGTTCTAGTGAAAAGTTTTGACCAATGGATTCCAACCGTATCTGTTGTATGGCAGTTACTCACTGAAGACATTGGTGGACAATGGGGCAATATCATGAATTAGTTGACTTTAGACATTAAAACCGTTGGATGTCAGTTCAGTGATCTACAGGTTAAGAGTTCACGGACGAGATCAAAGGTTCTGGTTTCGTAACCCACATTCGGCATTGTAAATGCACACTTCTGAGGAGTCATATACTATGAAGAAACGACCGTCCATTGCTTCTAGGTGTTCAATAATGGTTCAACAATTAAAATTACTGCAATCTCTACAAATCCTCATTGTGGAAATGATAATTATCAAATGGAACTTCAAATGAATCATATGAACAGTAAAACATATTTCATAACAATCGATATGATTACCAAAGTTTCCAAATGTTTATTACATCGTGAAAATCACCTATACACACACACACACACACACAAAGGAGCGTAAATGCCATTCAATCTTATTATGTCAGAAACACACATGGTGTTTCCAATTAGGAAACATACATTAGCACATTTATTTATTAAGGTCTCTTTTTATTTGACCTTATGAGATTTGAACTATGACTGTACAATAAATATGAAGCAGAAATTGATTGGGGAAGTAGGTTTGTTTATAAAACATAAGTGTTTTCTACCAAAGATAATTGAACATTTTCTTCCACATAGAAACTAAAGTTAGTTGCGTAGTGAACGAAAACACCAGTGGAGGACAACCGAATGTATTTAAATACAAACGTACAGAATTACTTAGTAAAACCCTAAAAACCATACAGTGAAAATCTCTCATTTGCAAAAGGTTAAACAATAATTCAAGATTTCATTATTCTTTCACTTCCACAGCAATCATTCTCTGTTCTCGTTCTCTTCTATTCGATCTTCTTAACCTTCTGCCGCCAACCATTTCACTTTCCATTGATGATACATACTACTTATATGTGTTGACATCAGTAGCACATACCACGTTAGTTATGTGTAATATGAAATGAAGTAGTTTCCTAAATTATCAGTCAGTCGGTCACAATTTAGAACTTCGTACGTACGTACGTACATTAGTTTGAGTTGCCATACCACATCAACACGGAAATGCAGTTGTCGATTCAAATCCCATCGTGGTAGGAGTTGTAACAGTATAAGCAGTAATCGCAAAGATTAGGGTTTGAATTTGTTATTCAAGGAGTATAATCTAGTGAGGTAAATTTGAAAAGAGAAAAAAGTATGTGACATGAAGAATTCAGAAGATTAGAATTTGAGAGAACACAAAGATTAAAGGATTAAAGGATTAACACAGGTTCACCAACCTACAATCCTTATTACAGAAGACTGAAGAATACATTAGTTTTGAATAACAGTGTATAATGAAGAAGGAGGATTTGATACAGACGTAAAGGCGAGTATTGACAAAGCATGGACAGAATTTTTACAGTTGAACAACATATGTAATTCAAAACAACTTTCTGTCAAGACAGTCTTACTGTACGGAACTGAATCTTCGAGAACTACTACAACCATTATCAAAGTAGTATAAGTATTTATGAGCTAATGTCTATGCAAGATACTCAATGTGCGTTGAATGAATGCCACTAACAACAACCGGCTGTGGGATAAAAAAGCCAGCTTCTATTTGGAGTGGAAACTAGGTAAAGAGGATGGAGATGGATACGTAAAACATTGAGAAAATCATCTAACTGCATCATGAGGCACACTGTAAATTGGAGCATTGAAAAGAAAAGGAAAAGATGAAAGTCAAAGAACACACTGTATCGAGATTTGGAAGCAGACATTAAAAAGAAGAATAGCAACTGGAAAGGATTATCAAGTGCAGGGTTAAATGTACAGAATTCTAATGGAATTTTAACTTTTACCCTAGAACATCTACACAAAATAACTCTGCAATCCAGAAATATACCGAAAAGGAATAAGATTGATTTTTATATTTCAATAGTCACCAAATCAATGTTACAATTTTCAGTTAATTTAAAATAGCCCTTTTGATTTTAAAAGAAAGATAAGTAGTTGAATCAGTATTATCTCTCTCTCAAAATGCTGACAAATGTCCACGTGCATACAACCGCTGACCAACATTGAAAACTTGGAAGCAGTGAACGGGTGTTTCGTCTCAGTATGAGACTCCTCAGAAGTGCTCATTCAAGATCCGGCTTCATGAGTTACGAACTCAGGAACTTTGGTCTCAACTATTAAATAACTACAATCTTTACTGAAAAATATTAATCAACCTGACAACATCATAAAGTATCATTGTTTTTTTAACACCTATGGGACTAATATAAGATCGATAAGCTCAACTCTGTAAATATCCAAAATATCGATTTTTGGTTGCCAAACTTAAAAATTAAGAGAGATGTTATACAGCTTATTATATTGTTTATGTATGAAATCATGAATTATGTAATAATGAATCATAATTCAACTCCACATGTTATTCCTCCGAGGGCTACTGACGGTCCCAAGCCCGGATAAAGGAAGTAAGTTGAGCATGGGGTTAGCGACCCAATCCTGTAAAAAACTAACTCGCTAAAAATTACTCTATTCAGAATCTTAATTTGATCATTCAAAAGTGTTAAGCTAATTGAATAGCCTAGAGATTTTTTTATAGTTCTATTAATGTATCCTACTAACTA